TATTTTGATTATATTTTTGGTGTCTTATTACAATAAAAGAGCACATATGTATTAAAACTTTACATATAATGCAATGGATGATGTTGTTGCTTGTTTACTATTTTACACTGTTGTGATACTGTACATGACGTCCTCCACCGCTGAATGTTTCCGTTGTTCGTGGTTTTGGGGTGTGACATCCTTTAACATGGAGCATTTCCTGGGAAGCTATTTTCTTCTAATCTAGGGCCTTGTTATAGTCTGAAAGGACAGAAGCACATGTGTCATTAAGGTTGTCAAGGAATGGTTGACAATCATGCATGCTATAATTAATAGTTTGGATCATAAGTTTTACATGTTCGACTATGCTCAGAGTTCCGTCCTTGGCCATATATATGTAGTTCTTTTCATGCTTCGTCGACCCATCTTCATCCGTAGTGGCCAACATACAAATCTTTCCCTTGTTTTTGATGTTGAAGTCTTGATCCTCATCACCTGAAGACCATACTTGATGATCTCTTTTCACCTGGGCCATAAATGCCCTTCCTTTTTCTTTTTCATCCATCTCCTGTGCCATTCGGATATTAAAGGCTTTGACATTGATTACATTTGCCTTACACTCCTTGGCAAAATGATTCTCTTTGTTGCACTTATTACAAATGACAACATCTTCTTTAACTTCGGTCAAGGGACCGGAGTCAGTTGGTTTAGCAGGCTGCGGCATCTCTTTAGCTTGATGAGAATTTATTGGTTGCAGAGATTGGTGAGGGTGTTTGGGATATCGGGTGTGATTGTTTTGAGGGTTGAAGTTTCGGTTAAAGGGAGGTTTAGTGAACTGCTGATTTTTGCCAAAGGAAGTTGGAGGTAAATGATTGAACTGCTAACTAACAAGAGCAATAGGATACTATAATTCTTCTTCATCATCATACTCTGTGTCAGTATCGTATGACTGCACTGGGTTTTCATAAGAGAGAGAGAGAGAGAGAGAGTAAGGTTGAGAAGTTAAGTTTTGTGGAGATTGGGCCATGAGAGCGAGTGGTCCTCCGAAGTCAACACAATCTTTGAGCACGGTTGATTCTTGTGCTTGGAGTTCCCTGTATAGTTTGAAAAGAGAGAATGAATGAATCTTACTATCACCTTGGACTATCATCTTTGCGGTAGTCCAGTGTTTCCCTAAACCATTGAGAAATTGGAGATTGGTTTCATGGTTGCTGCAGATAGTGCCAGCATTTGACAACTTGGTGACAATGAGGTTGAATCTTTTGAAAGAATCCTTAAGGCTTTCTCCCGCATGAGCTTTGAAATTATTGAATTCGTTGAGTGTGGTAGTGAGCTTCTTATCTTGTGTCTACTCAGAACCTTCATACAGGTTCTTGAGGACATCCCAAATCTCTTTTGCGCATTTGCAATTGATGACAATATCAAAGTTATCAGGAGCAACTCCGCAGGATATTTCATAAAAGGCAATTGCATCATTTTCCATTTTGTCAAGATAATCCTTTGTGGGAGAATTCATGCCAGCTTGACCTCCTCCAAGTCTGGCTTGGGCACCGTCGGCTTAAACCGGAGTAAGAATAGGGACATGAGGTCCTTCTTGTATAGATCTCCACACATCTCGTCTAAGTCTTCTTAGATATCTCTCCATCCTTTGGGACCAGTGATGATACTCATTTGTCACCAATATTGGAGCTCTATACGGACCTCCAACACTGTTGAAAACATTGAGTGACAATGCATGTGCCATATTTCCTTTTTTTTAATTTTTTTTTGAAGGAAATGAGCTTCAGTGGTATAGAATGCTTTTTAAAATAAGAGTTTTTGTTCAAAAAGCAACCACTTTGGCTCTGATGCCAGTTGTTGATAGAAAAACTTGAGTAACACACTTGAACAAACGTTAATACAAGTAATATTGTGGAATAAAGTTTAACTTAAAGGATCATAAAGCTCAATAATATTAAGTTAGAGTTAGATAGTTAGATAGTTAGGTGCGGAAATATAAGGAAATATAAATGACAACAAGTATTATATCAAGTAAACACTTAAGCTGATTCCTAACAAGGATTGCAATCAAACCAAGTTAATAAGTGTGATCAGCTCAAAGTGATTAAGTCAAGAGTCACTTGCTCCGAAGGAGAGATTACGATCTTAATATAAGAGTTTGAGTTCAGTAAGATCTTTGAGAGTAAAGAGAAAAATATATGATATGAGATTCAAGAGAGATGTGTTTTGATATAGAAGCGGTACACTCTATTTATAGAGGTCCGAGAACAATACATGGTCTGACCAAAGATTAACAAAATAAGTGACCATGCAAGGTACACTAGACATTAAAATGTAATGATATAAGATAGAACTAAGTGTTCATTCCAGTTGTGGTAGGCTGCAGATGACATCAATTCAAGTTGCGGTAGCTGAATCCGGAATACTAAGGAGGACTTCGGACGTAAGGTTCAAGAGGGTCACTTCTTGATTCAACAATTTTCATTGGCTTTATTTTTATTTAACGCCTCATCATCTAAAACTTACATTTTCAGCTACAAAATATTAACATAAATTTACAAATTTGTTAACAAATTGTATCATAAATGTAAGGTGTCACTAACCTTTTCACCAAAATTTGTTTGGAATTCTGTGGGATCATCAAAAGTGATGTTGTTCCATATGCTCTCATTATCCCCTTCTTCTACAAATACCTTAGTAGGTTGTCGGTTCATAAACACCTGTTCTACGAAGATTCGTCTTGTCTCCTAAAATGGTCTCGTACTGGTGATGGAACTGAGTTTCGTTCACCATATGCATACTCTTGACATGACATATAATAAGAAGACAACATCTCATCATCACTCGGTCACATGCTATGTCTTGGTCGTTGTCCCTCCTAAAACAATTTAACATATTAAAACTGTATATAAAGGTGCAATCATGAATTGTTTATAATTAACATAATATTTAAAAACCTTTGTCATGTAAAAAAAATCTTGTTCACATCAACCCATTTTAATTTTTTGGTACCACTCCATCATTTGATCTGAGGTGTGTCTTTTTTTTTTCGTAATGCAAATCCACCTACACGAACAACTAGCAACATCTCATATAGTTATATCTACAACTTTCATAATTATAGTAACAAAAATTAAAATAAATAACTTAGCAATAACATCTTACAAATAATAATAAATTTGTATACCATAAATGGTACCGTAAATCCTAAAAACAGAGTATTTAAAAGTTTTGCGGTGCTCCGGCAGTAAAAAATATCTATTTATGTTTTTCCACGTATCCTCAAGGTCATCATAGGTAAACTTCCACAGATAGCTACACTAAAAACAAATGCAAAAAAAAAAAATACTTATAATATACATTAACATTAATAACATGGAACTTTCAAACAAGACAAAAAAATACATCTTCCACACATCTAAACTCTCGCAAAAAAAAAAAAAAGGTCTTGCAGCACCCGATCATTTATTGTTTTTCCCAAAAATCATTCACACAAGATGTATATAAGAGACACTCTAAATGCATCATCTTCAGTAGCTTCTAAGAAGGGATGATTTAAAACAAAACTTTTCAAGTCACAGATTTTCACCGAACTATTTGTATGGTTCGGAAATTGACGTTCCCGTAATAAATATCTTTTTTTACTACTAACTTTTTTTTTTTTTCTGAGACTTTTTTCCCAATCATTTTGAGATACACACCAAAACTAAACCTGATTATCAAACAAAACTATTCCGGACCATAAACCATTTCCTTATCCCCCAATCTAAAAAATAACCATTTTATGTCATCTTGAGAGAGTACAACGTCTAGCCGTAGCAGATGAAGAAACATTCTACGGAACATCATGTTCCGAGGGACGTCTAACAAGTAACCAAACACGAAATGTCTAAAACTTTCACGTTGTGCACCATGACACACCTCCAAAACTTCCTAAATGTTTCACCCTGATCATTTTAGGTTGACAACAACTTTAACATTAAAAATTTTATAATCTTGCTGAAAAACAACGTATTAGAAAACTAAACAAGTATTTTCTTTAAAAATATACGGAAATTACATTGAATAAATAAACCAATATTCAAATTACAAGCAAAACAAATATACAAAGTATATTATAAACAATATTGTAACCAATTTTTTATAGTAACGACAACTAAACAAACACTAATTTAAAAAATAAAAATGCATGTAGACTAACATATTGCAAATGTAATACCAGATCAATAAAAAAAGAATCATTATGTTTTAAAAAAAAAAACTCATTTTACTAAACTTCTTAACAAAAAAATTTCAAAAATACAACAACCTAATGCACTCTTTACACATTATATACTTGTACATTCATACAACCACTAATCAAATAACATCAAAACTTCAAGACTATTAATAAATACTACTATACTTATCAAATACAACACAATTAGCCAATGACACACAATATAGTTAGTTTTTTTTTTTTTTTTTTTTCAAAAACTAGTAGAATAAATCCTAAATAAACAAAACCTACATTTGATAAATATTGATTAAAACACAAAATGAGTTAAGATCTTACTATATTTCTAGAATTGTTGAAGAAATGGTCTATGATGATTATAAGAAAATTGGAGAGAGAGAGAGAGAATGAAGAAAAAAAACTTTTTTATACTAGTGATTCCGAAATCGCAGATGGTCACAAGGAAATAGCAGATGGACTAATCCATTTGCGAAATCATAGATGAGCTTAATCAAATGCGACTTTCAAGGCTATTTTTTTTCACAATGTAATTAGTGTATTTGGTTATTTTTGCACATCTAATTATCTATTAGGATTTATGTTCGAAAATAAAACGCTTTCTCTTCATGAAAATATAAATTTTTATTTAACAAACGTTTTTAAAATTTAAACTATAATCTACTAAGTAATACAATATAAAAAATTAGTACAGACCTACACTAAAATTACCATTAATTATTAATTACCAATTTACCATAGGTTTAAAATAATCATATCTTAGCCTCCTATTTGCTTCGCTTAACTATTAGGCATTAGCCCTTACCAGGCTCCCAATTGAACTCACGGCGAGTTTCAACCGCTCCAAAGGATTCACAGTGGCCACCGTCTTGTACAAATAGCTCTCCAATATCATCTTCTGCGCATATTCATGCCGAAACAACTCCACTACAGCCTCCTTCCCCATATTCGACCTATAAAACACCTTATCCACCATATCCATCTTCTTAAACGTCGGCCCAAATATTGTGTCCCATTTCTCCAGATAACTCCTCAAATCTCCCTCGTCCACCATCTTCCTCCCGTTCTCCGATCCCTCCACTATCGCCTCCGCACACATCCGCCCGCTTTTTGCTGCAAAATATATCCCTTCACCGGAGCCTTTCATAACATACCCGGCGGCGTCTCCTACCAACGCTACCCTCTCCACCACTCTCCTCGGTCGAGGGTGTTGAGGCATGGGGTGAGCTTCCACCCATATGATCTTTCCTCCTTGAATCTTTTCACCCACACGGAGGCGCGTGGCGAGCTGGAGTTTTTCAATGTCTGGTTTATGTCTCAAGGTTCCTGTTCCGACGTCCACGTGGTCTGATTTCGGATACACCCATCCGTAGAAGTCAGGTGATATGTCACTTCCGACGTACATCTCGGCGAGATTCTCATAATACTTCATTTTTTTGTCAGGGATCTTGATGCGTTCTTGGATAGCTATAAGGTACTCATAATCTCCGGCGTCAATGGATTTTGCGACACGGGAATTTGCTCCGTCGGCACCAATTACTGCATCAACTTCGATACTCGTCCTTTCTCCAGCGGTTTTTCCGTTGTAGGTATTGTAATGGAGGATGTATGGTGCGTTTTTCTCTTGGGGTTTATCCATTTTGACGAAAAGTCCGTTGATAATGGTGGCGCCGGAGGCTTCAGCGCGATCACGGAGGTAGGCGTCGAGGAGTTCCCGACGGACCATGCCGATGTACTCATGGGGTTTGAGTGTTTTACCGATGGTGACGGCGACATTTGATGGGGAGATGATCTTCAGATTGGTGACACGGCGGTCAATTATATCCATCGGCAAGTCAAATTCTTCGACCATGCAAAGTGGGATGGATCCACCGCAGGGTTTAGCATTGTCCAGTTTGCGCTCGATGAGGAAAGTCTCTATTCCGCCTTTGGCTAGAGTTTCGGCAGCTGCGCCACCGGCAGGACCACCGCCAACCACTGCAACGCGAAGATTTCGTCCAGTGATTGTGGGACTGGACTTGGCCGCGACAACAGTAAGACGGCGGTAGTGGAGTTGGCTTGGTACAAGACATTCAGATGGAGTGGTGATCGAGTGGTGGCGGTGTTTTTCCATTGAAGATTGATGGAGTCCGATGAAAGACTTGAATGTAATTGAGGCCATTGTGGATGTCTTAAGAGAAGTAAACTTTAGAGCGGGGTTTTCTGATTTGCAAGATCCATGGATTCATTCGTTTAAATAGAGACATTTCTGATTTTAATTTTTTTAATTTTAATTTTTATTTGACTTTAAAATGTCTGATTGAATTTAGGGTAATTTACATAATTTGTTTATATGGTGTTGGTTAATATAGTGTTTGTTTTCTTAACTTTTATTATTATTATTATCATTATTATTATTATTATTATTATTATTATTATTATTTCATGGATGGTAATTATGATTTAATTTTGGTCTTTAAATGAAAAAATCGTATGTATTTATCTAATTCATTTTGACTTTATTTATTTATTTATTTTATAAAATTCTATACATATTTGATTTTCTACCGATTAAACTTAATTTATTTCTTAAGCTCTCATGAAAAACCGTAACAAACAAGAAGAAAACTTTATAAAAGTACAAAATCTTATAAATATAAAATCAGAAAAAATACAAAGTATTTTAGGAAAAAGATTACAATTAATTCGGAAAAAAATCAATATGTAGAATCTTTTATGATATCAACTCAATTTTTTATTTGTTAATACATCCTTAATAAAAGCACTCATGCATCCTTTATAGAGTTGTATATTTCAATATTTTAATATACAAATTGTTGTGTATAAAGAAAATTTGTTATATACGGATCAACTCCTTAATAAAAACTAGATACAAGCATCCATACCAACTGACCCCTCTCATCTCCTACCGGCGACCTCCGTTCACCTCTTTCTGGCAGCAATCTCGGGCCCACCTCACCTCACCGGAGAGTACGACAACTTTTCAAGTTAACAAGCCTTCGTTCAAGAGCCAACCAGTTACGGCTCCTCCAGGGCCGGTCCAAACATAAATGGGGCCCGGGGCGAAAAGAAAAAAAAGGGTTCCTCAATTGCAAATATAATACAGATTTAGAAAAATATCATTACTCTTTAATATAGACGTTTTCACTTATAAATAAAAAGCAAACTAAATTGTTTATATTTTGAGCTAAATTGAGTTTCAATCAAATTTAGGCCCTAAAAATCATTTAGATAATAACTTTTTTTTTTTATATATAAACTACATAGCTCATAAATTTTGGCCCCCTGCAGTCGTGGGCCCTGAACGGTTGCCCGGGTTGCCCACCGCTGGACCGGCCCTGGGCTCCTCACACTTACAGAGACTACGATTTAGGGCTCGTTACACTGTCCCCATGTCGGGCTTACATGGAGATTAAGGGTTTTGCGACTTCTCCTTGTTGTCATTTGCGAACTAATGGAGCCCTAGCTAGGTCTGATTCAAGCAACATGTAATGTACAGGTGACCTTGCCTCCTCCACAAATCAAATTGTAAGATTTTATAATTTTTATAATTTTATGGAATTTGGTGCTCATTCTATTTTGAAAAAAACTTATTTTTAACCTATTATCGTTCTTTTTTTTGCTTGTATTTGGAAAGTCTTTATTCTTGATGGATTTTTTTGCCATCGTGATTGATTTTATTTCCATGGTGTGAACTGTGATGTTGAATTCTCCAGTATTAGGGTTTTATATGCTTTTTTTTTAGAATCTTTTGTTTGAGTAGCTCCTCCCTTAACTCCCAAGATTAGTAAACTAATAATGGTTTGTTGGAGATCGTATATAGGGAGTCACGATAAAGTGAGGCTGAAGGTTTGCAAGAAGGTTCTCAGGGATGGAAAGTGATCCGACCAACACACTTTCTTTTCCTTGCAATTTGGGTTTAAAATAGCATCCCTACGATCCCTATTTACATGTGCAACCAAATCTTTACTGCTTCTCCTTCTTTGGGTAAATACTCATGGCCCCTAAGGTGGCTAACATGAATGCTTTAATAGAATAGGTGAATAAGTTCTACAACCTTCTCTGTAAATTTGATTGATTTATTAGAAGTAATAATTAACTGTTCATTTAATCAACTCTTCTAATAACTGATTGTTCTATTACAAAGGTTCCTGTCTACATAATAATTTTAAATAAAAGAAATGTGGAGTAGGTTGCTGAAGCAATTAAGATTTTGACATCAGATGAGAAAATGAAAATAATATTGGTGAACATTTTTGGAAGAATAATAAAATGCAAGATTATAGCTAGTGGAATCTTTTCCTCTGTCTTGATTTGTGTAACCAACTGAACAATAAATTTAATGATGTTGAAACTATAGTCAAATATCTGAAATACCCTTTATTGCTAAAATGTAGTTTTAATATATGCAACTCTAATTTGATACTTCTCCGGAAATGATTATCTTGTAGATTAACATCAAATAAACCAAAATTGTTAATCATTTTATTTCTATTGTTTTTTTGGTGTGTAGATCATGAGAATTTTGGGAGTTATGATAATGAATTTGATGATAATCAAACCTGCTACGTGCTAAGTACACTAGGTGTACGAGGTGTAAGGGTTTCCTACTATTCTCTTTTTTGTTGATGGTGTTCAGAAGCCTTATCTTGGTCAACGAAGCGATTTAGTCTCTCCCTCTTAATCTTAGTGTTTTTAAACATGATTTTGTGCATAGAAATTATGGAATCAATAATGTTAATTTCCTTTTCCTGATGCTTTACATTGCGGAGATGCTATAGTAACTTGGATAAAAATAAAAAAAAAGACAGGACCTACTATGTAAAACATGAACGGTTGTCTAAGTTTTTTTTCTTCTTTTTTAATGCATATCACTTATACGGTTGGCTAAGCGGTTCTTTTTTATATATCTTACATGAGTTAACAATTAACAAATAATCTTGAAAACTTCTTTAAATTAATCATATGAGTTTAACATATATATATATATATATATATATATATATATATATATATATATATATATATATATATATATATATATATATATATAAAGAATATACATTACAGCCCCACCTAAGCTTAGGTACTAAACTTCTAAAATATGTCGTTTTAACATGCTAGATATATCCGGTTTTGTTTCACTTGATAAATATATCATCCTCCAAAACATTTCTTTCTTTCATTATCGTTTTACCATCCTAGTTTTCTTTACTCAATTATTTTTTATTACTTCACCCAAGTGAATATTACTAAACCCTAACCCTAAATTTAAACCCTAAACCCTAAACCTAAATACTAAACGCTAAATCTAAACCCTAAACCCTAAATCTAAACCCTAAACCCTAAACCTAAACCCGAAACCCTAGACTCTAAACCCTAAACCCTAAATCTAAACCCTAAACCGTAAACCTTATTGTGTCGATCTTGAATTTACATCTTCAAGTATTAATCATGAATCCATTAACCGTAATCTTTATATAGTAAAACAATGTATTTTCAAGAGGTTTAGTACCTAAGCTTAGGTGGGGCTGTAATTTATATTCCCTTTTCCCTATATATATATATATATATATATATATATATATATATATATATATATATATATATATATATATATATATATAAGAGGAGCTCTTTTGCCATGTGTCATCATATTAGACATTTTAATTAATGTGTTGTCACTTGTCACTCTATTAGTTTTCAATTTTAAATTTATTAGACCTCCTCATTAATGTGATTCTATTTTGTATTTTAAATTTTAAATTAATGTTTTCATTAATTCACAAATAAAAAATATCTAATATATATTAAAAATTAATTTTATATATTTATTTGAATCAATGATTATAATTTCACATAACTAATAAAAATATCTCTTAAATTAATAATTTATTTAAATAACTTATTAATAATTTTGATTTTTACTATAAAAATTTGATTAATTTTATAACCATGGTTCCCCCGGGTTATAAACTAGTATATATATATATATATATATATATATATATATATATATATATATATATATCCCTATTCTAATAAAAAAAATAGGTTTAATCACATATTAACAAGTGTCATTCAATTATAACCTTCATTAATGTTATATATCATTTATCATGCCACTTGTCAACCTATTAATTATTATTTCAAATTTCAAAATTTAAATTTCCTACTCTAATATTATTAAATTAATAATTGATTCTTAATTTTAAATTTAAAATTATATAATTTCTCCCTTTAATTATATTAAATTAATAACATTAAATTAAAAAAAAATTAATACAAATTATAAAATGATATAACTCCATGTATTTATTTAAATCAACGATTATAATTTTATATAACTAAAAAATGTCTCTTAAGTAATTTATTTAAAATAATTGATTAATAATTTTAATTTTTTAATACGAAAGTTTAATTAATTTTATAACCGCAGTTATCACGGGTTATAAACTAATATATACATATATATATATATATATATATATATATATATATATATATATATATATATATATCCATCTCTTTTCTAATAAAACAATATGTTTAATCTCCTATCGACAAGTGTCATATGTTTAGAGCTCCTCATTAATGTTATATATCACCAATTATGTTATTTGTCAACCTATTAATTATCCAAATTTAAATTTCAAAATTTAAATTTCCACTATAGTTACACTAATTAATAATTGATTACCATTTTAAATTTCCACTCTAATTATATTAAATTAATAACATCAGATTGAAAACTAAATTAAAATTAAAATAGATTATAAGGTGACATAACTTCAATTATTTATTTAAATCAACAATTATAATTTTATATAACAAAAAATATCTTTTAAATAATAATTTATTTAAAATAATTGATTAATAATTTTAATTTTTTAATATGAAAATTTAATTAATTTTATAACCGTGTTTCCCACGGGTTATAAACTAGTATATTCTAATAAAAGAATAGGTTTAATCACATATTGATAAGTGTCATTCAATTAGAACCATTCATTAATGTTATATATCATTTATCATGCCACTTATCAACCTATTAATTATTCATTTCAAATTTCAAAATTTAAATTTTCTACTCTAATTTTATTAAATTAATAATTGATTCTTAATTTTAAATTTTAAATTTTAAAATTTCTCCCTTTAATT